TGTAAATGTTTATGAAAATTAATAAAATATAGAAAAAAAACTTTAAATATAATGAATGGAAATCCAAAGTCTCTGTAAACTTTTATTAAAATCAATTAATTTTTAAAAAACTTTAAATCTCTCTAATAATGGTAAAGAAAAAAGGTTAAAAGCATGTTACCTAAATAGAGAAGTAAAAGAGATGTCCTCTTAAAATTAAAAAAAAAAGAAAACTCACTTGAAAGCATAGCTCAAAACCTAACAATGATGACAAATGTGTCCATTCAGAAATTAAAACAACTATGTATAACTTAGAAAAGCACTGAAAGTTTGGTGACTGGATATTTACTGCTAATTCATTTCATCTTTAGGATCTGTAACAGCTGTGGTATTTAAATTATCTCATTTTGTACCAATAAATATCAGGACCTCTTCTCTTCACCTTGGCAGAGTAATTTTCATGTGAATGTAACCAAACAATGAGCAGTCCAGTTACCAGACAGACTAAAAATCAACCTAGACTTGCTAGAGGCACTGTTGTGTGCTCTCAAATTGGAACCAACTCACAGCTGACCCTCCAGCCAACTTTCAGAGGCTGTAAATGGCATGAGAGGAGACTGCCCATCTTTCTCCCAAGGAGCAGCTGGTGGAGTCAAACCATCTTCCGTTGGGTTTGCAGTGTAACTCCTTACCTCTAAGCCACAGAGCTCATTAAAGAACTAATTTCTTGCATTTTCGTTTAACCACACAAACCTACATATACAATTGTAGTTCTGGAGAAGAGTACTGAATATCCCATGGACTACCAAAAGAGGAGGTTGTTAAAATAAGGACCCACAGGGAGAATACAGCTAGAGTGCTCTTTGGAGCACTCTGGGCATGTTGCTAAGAGAGGCTATTCCTTGGGGAGGGATATTATGCTTAGAAAGGACCACGAAGGAGAGGAGGACACTCAATTAGATGGACTGATCCAGTGACTGCAGTAATAGGCTTGACCGTGTCAGAGATTGTGAGGATGGTACAGGGTCCGGAACTGCTATTCAGAGAGTCTCTGTGAATCACTCTTGACTTGATAGCACCTAACAACATACACAAACTAAAGTAGCATAGAGGAAAAGAAAGAATGAATGCTAGAAGATAGTATGAGCATCAGTCTTATATAATCAACTAGTCATTTGTAGTTTACATAAATACATATAATAGAAACATCCCTGAAAAGCAGAGGTCTAGATTTAGGAAGAGGGGCTTCAGGCCTTTTGTTTATAGGGTTACTATGAGTCACACTGCACTTGAAGGCAATGAACAACGGAACCAGTAAGTAGGTGCTCTAACAGCATACAAATGATACAGGAGACTCTAAACTACTCAGGGGTTGGGATGCCAACTTTCCATGTATAAAAAATTTGAGTATAATTCCTTTTATAACTATTTATTAATTTTAATGAAAGTTTACAGAGACTTTGGATTTCCATTCACTTTTGCACTTTTCTCCCTGCCCCCCTCCTCCCCCAGAGTTTGCTCTTCTCTTTGAAAAGTAAAAGTAAAATTCTTTCATAAGTTATACACTCTCTTCCGCTAAGTCCACTCCACTATGCAGCCTTCACGCTGGACTCCTGTCATAACAATACTACCTAATCTTATATCCCTTTTAAACAGTTATCTCCCTCATCTGTTTCAGTGCAGTATACATTTTTTTCTTCTTTTATTTTAAATTTTATTTTATTCATTTCAATGAACATTTACAGATTTTGGATTTCCATTCATTCATTGTTACACTTTTTTCTTTACCCCCCTCCCCCAGTTCGCTCCTGCAGTATACATTATTTATCCCCTCTTTCTCAGTCTCCCCCAACCACGATGTCAGTCTTCTCTTGTAACAGTGGCACTAAGCAGTATTTGTCTTTTTGTGACTGAGATATCTAGCAACACAGACTTAACCTCTTAAAAAATGTCGATACTCACGGAACTTGAGTTCATACATACAAAAAGAATCGGTAACTCTGAGTATAATTTACTGATATTTTTTTTTTTTTACCTGTGAGCTCAAGTTCCCTGAGTATCTATGTATTTTAAGAGGTTAGGTCTTTGTGATGCTAATCACCTCTCAGTGAGCAGTCTCTCACCTGAAATGATCAGCAACATTACAACTCATTTCAACAGGAAAAAGGAAAAATATCATGTGTAAGTGGACTCTTGAAGTTCAAACTCAAATGCTCAAGGGTCAATATACTCTACCCAAATGAAGGAAAGTTTATCATTTTTGTGAAATTTGTTATGAAAAAAAACCCTGTAATTTTTTAAAAACTATAAGAAACTGATTTTTCCCCCTCAATGTTTTTAGTAATGATCAGTACAACTGACTTCCAATTAGTTACATGTAATGATGGTTTATTCTGCCTTTAATATTAATGACTTTGAGATACAAGCCTTTTCACCTTAAAAATATTACCACCAAATCAGTTTGTTCTAAAGAACCTAATAATACTAATTTACTATCCAACCTGTTGATGTTTGCAATGATTGGTGCAAGCCGTGTGGCAACTGGAAGGTGGAGAGAGGTGAAGGGATGCTATTTCTGAAGTCTTCTGTTGCTTTAGACTGTAAAACCTTGGTTTCCCAGAGCTGCAGAGAAAAATGGTTTTGTTGTGGTTTCTTAGAGAGGAAAAAAAAGCAGTATCAAGATATTATTTGTATTTTTTAGAAAGCATTCTAAATGAAATCACCGAATAAGAGGGAACAATTACCCAAATGTAATTAAGAGACAGGAATATACTTGACCCATTTTTAAGCTTAAAAAGAGAAAAAAAATTATTGCCTACAAACCTGCTTCAATTCTTTTAAGACTTGTTCCTCTACACCTTCTTCAGCAAACAGATGCTGGACTCTTTCAATTACATCTTCAATTACAGATCTGTAGAATTTAGGCTACATAAAAAGCACTTGTTAAAGATTTAATGTCTCCATTTTTAATATATTTTGCTCTAGAAAGCATAAAGGGTACTCTTTCTAATCCTGTCATTTAAAGAAATGCCACTATAAGAATATTTTACTAAATACATCCTGCTTCCTGGATAATCTTAGCTTCCTTCCCATAAACTGTTAGCTTCAAACCCCAAGTCTCAGCTTTTCTGCAAAACTACCTTAGTCTATCGCCTTTGAATTGATGCTGACTCATCTAGATGCTACAAGGTGGAGAACTGTTCCGTAGTTTCCAAGCCACAATCTTTGTGAAAGCAGACTGGCACATCAGTCTCTTGAGATCAACTGGCTGGTAGAGGCAAAGCACTGACCTTTCAGTTAGCAGGTGAGCACATAACATCAAGCCACAGGGGCTCCAGAGATTAAATAATAGTACAGTAGCATACGCAATAATAATCTTACAAAGAAGTACGGTTACCGTTGCTAGTTAGCTAAAAATCACTGCTTCAGTACTTCAAATGTCAAGTACTAGGGCAAGCAAAGAGAATTAACTAAAGCCTGTTCAAGTTTCAAAATGCAAATAGCTCCCTGCCTACAACCCCCTCCCAAAATAGACAGACATATATTCAAAAATACTGTCACGTAGTAAGGAGAGCTCCATAGTGTATCACGTACTGCGCTGTTAAAGAGAAGCAGTCTCTTCCCATAGACTTACAGCTCAGAAATCTAATGGAGGGTCACCTATGAGTCAAACGGATCGGACATCAGTGGGTTTGGTTTTGGTTTACTGTCCAGTAAAAGTACAACATTTTTGCGAGTTCATCACAGTGGAACATTTCTGCGAGTTCATCACAGTGGATTTCCTCACAAAAATTATGACATGAACCAATCTGAACAGTCCACAATCTACACATCACAGGCTAAATAATGTATGTTCTTCCAAGTAAACTGAGCCAAGAAAAGAATAGTATACAGACTTTCAAATTAAACATTAACTATGCCTGTAAAACTAATAAAGTCCTTCATTTGTTCACAATAGCAGAGCTGGAAATAACCTGAGTGCCCATCAACAAATGAATAGAGAAGCTGTGGTATATTCACACAATGGAGTACTATGCTGCACTGAAAACAAGGAATATTATCCAAAACGGGTGACCCTGGAGGACATTATGCTGAATGAAATAGCTCAGTCACAAAAGGACAAATACTGCATAGTGCCACTGTTATAAATAAAAAAAGACTGACATAGGGGTTGGGGGGACACTGAGAAAGATGGGATCATGTATACTGCATTGAAAAAGATAAGGGAGAGAACAGTTTAAAAGGGATATATAATTAGGTACTATTGTCATGACAGGTGTCCAGAATGAAGGCAGCACAATGGAGTGGACTTGGGGGGAGGGACTGTATAACAAAGAATTTTATTTCCCAAAGAGAAGAGCCAATTGGGGGAGGAGGGGTGGGCAGGGAGAAAAGTGCAACAATGAATGAATGGAAATCCAAAGTCTCTGTAAACTTTAATTAAAATTTTTTAAAAAGTCTTTCAAACCTATGTAACTCATACTCTCTCCACCACGCAGACCAAAAATAGCAATGATAAATGTGTTGACAACGCCGACAAACGGGAAATTCCACTGATAAACGCAATTTAGTTGAAATATGCTCTTCTTTGGAATTCCAAAACACAAATGCAAGACAAAATGAAAATTATTGCGTGCTTGGACTTCTTCTTCCACACTCTAAGTACACCTGCTCATTACAATAGTAGTTCGATTTTAAATCGAGTCTTCTGAAGGTCCTGGGTGATCATATGAACAGGCCAACCATCAACATTTAAATAATAAGGTATTCACAAGAATATCCATTAGGATTAAGCGCCCCTAGATTAAGCTGCTGCTTCTACAGTAGTTTTACCCTGCTAAAGGTTTACTAAAAATCGCTATTTCCGGGTTAGTCCCAGCTAATGCGATCACATTTAAAGCTTAAGAGTTTTTTAAAAACCTAAACTCCAAGGGCTAACCACATCTGCCCTCAGAATATAATTATCAGTCAAAAAAAAAAACCCCAAAAAATATTAGACCAATTTTTCCTAAGCAAAATTGGTATTGAACATGCTTTCTCTTCTGGGATTACAGGTAAGCCTTTACACTGCTTTCCTTAGCTGGTATCTTAGTTAAAAACCGGGTATAAGCCAAGAAATCTATTATTAACCCCCTTTTTTGCAAAAAGCAAAGCGCACACCCTTGGCTGGAGAAGGGTTAGGGTTAGGGTGATGCTAAGGTTATGGTCAAGGACAAATATTTTATGCTAACTTAAGATAGCTGGAAGGTGCTACCTATCCCATAAATTGCGAGGTTTGGGTGGTTGTCAGGTAAAATGTCAATGTATTTGTTCCGATCCAACGTGTGTATATGCTTTAAGATTATAAAAGGACTGGAAAGAGGCACAAAGTATGTATTTGGTCACATGAAACGATGCATTAGCTGACTGTCAAGGGCTTCAAGCCAACTACGGTCCGAATAAAAGTAAAAATGGGCACGAAGACGACCACGGAGCTCGGGAACTTTCTAGACTTAAACGGAGATGGAGAGCGTGCAGGGGGTCAAGTGCACCGGTCACCTCCTAACCTGCTGTCAGTGACCACTAAAATTAAGACCCGGCGTGTTCAGAGGGATGTCGCACAGGGCCACCCACGGACGCCCTCAAGTCGGTACAAAAAAAGGGAAGAAAAAGGAAAAGTGTGCTTCCGGTGCGAAAGCGGACCCACTTCCGGTGGCCTCGTCCCTCTCAGCTTCGTTGGACAGAGGTGAGGAAGGGAGGCTTTCGGAGGGACTTGGAGAGAACAAGGTAAAGAAAGGGATGTGGTGGGTCCCCCCTGCCTCGAGTCGTAAGGTCAGAGTCCAGGGAGCGCCCCGAACAAGGGCCAGAGGCCGGACGCGTCCTTACCACCAGGTTGGGACACGTCATGGCGGCGGGCGAGAAGGCCAGCGTCTTGCGCATGCGCAGGATGCTCCCCGCAGCGCCGCGTGGCGCGTTTTGAACTCCTGGTGCACGTGACCTGAGTCCCCTGCGCAGCCGCAGACGCGACAATGAGGGCTGGGGTTGGGGAGGAAAGGTTGATGGATTATGTGCAATAAACTGTGTTTTATTAGAGCCCTTAACTCCATGGCATCCAACAACATGATTAGAGTGGGGTCCCAACCTGCAGGCCTGATTGAAGACAGGGAACAGGGACAATTTAATTGCGTCTAGACCAACTGTTTAAGCAGCCCTAGTGGTGTAGCAAGTAGCGCGTCCGGTTGCTAACCAAAAGGTGTGAAGTTCAAATCCATCAGCCACTCTGCAAGCGAAAGAGAGTCAGGCACTTCTCTCTGGTAAAGATAGCCTCAGAAACTGCGGGAGACGCCCAAAGAATCAGAATACCTTTGAGAAAAGTGGATTGGGAGTAAATGGCCATTACTCTGATCCTTATATTTAAAAAAACAGCACTACCAAATCTACTATGATTTCATCAAGGCCGGTTCATAACAACTGTATCGGGTTCCTGTAGCTGTAGATCTGTACTGGAGGAGACTCCCCATCTTTCCAACCACCAACCTTGTCCTTGACACTGTTATGTCAAAGCTGACTCAGAGCCGCCCCTCCAGCTGGTTTTTTCAGAAGCAGTAAATCACACGGGAGGAGACTGTCCCATCTTTCTCCTGCAGATCAGCTGATGGACTGGAGCTGGCAGCTTCTTAACTCTGGGCTATCCGGCAACCTGTGAAATCGACTTCAGAAAAATGAGGACGGGATCCGGTAGTAGATGCATTCTTCCACCAGTTTTCACAGGTGCCGCTCTTATCCCACCCAACTCCTTTAACGTTAAAAAGCAAGAGCCAGATTTCTCTAATGTTTAAATTGTGGTTCCAGGAGCATGCAGCGTCAACGTCATCTGCATTGCAATGCAAATTATTGGGACCATTCCAGCTCTGCTGAATCAAACTCAAGAATGGGACCCACAACAATGCTCTCTAGGTAACTGAAATGAGAGTCACTGACCAACGTCTTAAGTCTCAAATTTACCTGGGATGTTAAAAAAAAAAAAAAATCTGATTTAATTAGTTTTAGATTCCCCACATGCCTTCTCACTTCAGACAGAAGTTACCATTTCTTAATAAGCAATAATCCCCTCCTTCTTCTGAAATATGAAGCACACCTTACCCAGGATTGAGGGTAGATGTGAACACAGATAATGAGGGTTACAAGAAAGAAGAAAGCATCTTTTGCCACCACTCTTTCTTTTAAATAGACTTTCAACACTGCAAATGAGTCTTGACCTAACCAGTTGACTACGTTGATGATTAAAACTCTATTCCCTTTACAACTGACTACTTATTTGTGTGTGTATATAAGTGCACTTGTTATTTGCCATTGAGTCAAAACTGATGGCCATTCTGTGGGTTTTCAGAGGCAGTAAACCACACAGGAGGAGATTGCCCCTTCGAGCAGCTGGTGGATTTGAATTACGTGCTTTTGGGATTGCAGCTCAGCTTCTTACCACTAGGCCACAAGAGCTTTGCCTGCATCTGGTAAGTTATGGTTTGTGACTTTCAGGCAGCTAGCTGATTTTTATGAGACCCTTTGGAAAACTTCCCTAAATGGGAAAAAAATTTTATACAGTCAATCATTTTTTAATAAAATTTTTATTTTATACTAGTTTACTTACAAAGTTCGTATACATTGTTTTCACAACAGATTTTAACCCATCCCTCCCTCCACCCATCAAATTGTGTGCCCATAGATTACCACCCTCCCTGCACCCCTCGGTGCACATTGTTTCTTAAATAGAATTATATAAATTGGGAAAATGTGATAAATCTTTTGTAAATAGAGTTTAACTTTACTGTCAAGAAAAAGTATAAGACTTTTAAAAGTGGGTGTATTATCTACTTCACTCAACCAGGTTATCGATACCTTGCATTGTCTTTGGATGATTGTCTAACACTGTAAGTTACATAAATAATTGTCCTTGTCCTTGTTCATTTAAAAACAACCCATTTACTTGTTTGAGCACAGAAGACTGGATCACTGCCCAGTGGCTAGATCCATTTTTGCATCAACTTATAAATTCATTTGCGAATTCGTAATTTTTAATGTTCATCTCTGGTTTTGGATTTGTCACTGAAACATCTGTAACATCTTATTGGCTCCCGTATTAACAAGTTAAATATAATCTTGGACATGAGAGTCATGGTTATACCTCCTTTCAAAAATTACTTTTAACAATTAATTGTCAGTTGTAGTTTGTAGTGCTTTGTTCTGTTTTTTTCCAAGATGCCAAGCTCACTAGTTACTTAACCTGAAGTAAGGCACATATACTTAACAAAGAGGTCAAGTTCACCAGCTCCTTATCCATGAAGCAGGGCACAGACGCCTAACAAAGACAACTGCTTTGGGTTACTGAAATTGATTCTATACCACTAGAAGAGAAAGCCCCAGACCTTACCAAAGAAGATGCAAGTCCACACAGCAAGATTCATTTGAAATACATCTTTAATTTTAGGGAGGAAAAATCAATATGCAATCTACAAAATATTATGTTACATTATTAAGGCTCACCTTGCTTTTTTGTTGTATTGATAAGACATAAAATTAGATTTTTTAGTAAAACAAAATACTACTTACTCATTGTTAAGAAGGGCCCCCCCTCATTGAATTTGTAATGAAAAGGGCTATATCATAAACACAGCTACAGACCGAAGGCAGTGAAAATGCTAACACTGTCCATTCTGTTCTATAAAACAGGTTCAAAACTCCAGCCTTTACTTTTGTGCTGCAAAGTGATTTTGGTACCTTTAAAAAAAAATTATAATGGACTAATATTTTTTTTAAAAAGGAAATGGCCCTAAATCCAGACCCATAGGAGAGGCAGGTAACTACCAGTCCTTTCTTACAGCGAGTATGCAGTGATTGCAGCAGTGGGGTCAGACATATCGGAAACGGCAAGGATGGTGCCAGCCAGGGCAAAGATCAGATCACAGTCCACTCAGCACCTAACACCAACAGCATGCTTCTCTGACTGGTAACCAGCCTAGAATAATTAACCTGATCACAAACTGGTCAAATCCTTCCATGGCCACCGTGTCAATCAAATGGCTCACTCACAAATTCTTCAGAGAGTGATTGACATTAGCTACATTAAACTGCCAGGAAAGGAATCTCTTTCCTTTCCCACTCCCTTTTTCCTCCTCTCTCTCTCTCTCATAAAAGCAAGGACTTTTTGAAATCATTATTTACTTTCTTAATTTGTAAGTCTAAATGAACCACCTGATTTTTCAGTTAGAGCTGTGAAGTCACTTTGACCTGGCATTTCCGAGGTCAGAAGACTTGTATTAAAAAGCCTTTTTTCTCCTCGCAGAATGTTAATTTCGCACTAAGGAATGAATATTTAAGGATCTTAATAGATGAGCAAGTTCACAATTTTGCTGCAGCACCCCACTGTTAATGCTCTCAACCTTTGCATGGCTGTCAGGAAACTCACTGGGGCTTCAGTCAGAATCCTGTGATGCTCTGGAAGATGGGAAGACTGAGAATGAACGACCCCAGAAGTGAGGGTCTCACAGACATCCATCAACCTGTGAAGCACAAGGAGTGATTAAGTGGCCCTTTTGCTGAATTTATCTTGAGGTGTAAATATTCATTCATTAAGTTCATCTGACTCTGCATTCTTTAACAAGCCTGGGAGGAATGACCATAGTTAACCCAGGTACTGGCTGGTCTGGAGCTCTGGTGGCCTAGTGGTAAGGAGCTGCACTGCCAACCCAAAGGCAAGCAGTTCAAATCCACCAGGTGATCCGCAGGAAGAAAGTTGAGCAGTTTCCTCCCATGTGATTTACTGTCTTTGGGTGTGAGTTGGTCCCAACTCAATGGTACACAAAAGCAACAAGGGATGGTCTAGTGGATAGAAGTGGCCCTGGCAACCCAAAGGTGTGTGCTTCAAATCTACCAGTTGTTCTGCAGATGAATGATTGGGGGTGGTCATTGTTAGGTGGAGTATAGCTCATAACGACCCTAAGAACACCAGATCTTAACCCTGTCCTGTCCTGTCCCGTTCTCATCACCTCTGACATCCGTGAGCCCATAGTCACAGTCACCATGTCAATCCATCTCATTCAGGGTCTTTCTCTCTTTCACTGACCCCCCCCCCACCTTTCCAAGCATCATGTCCCTCTCCAAGGAATAACTTCTTCTAGCAACATGCCCAAAGTATGAGAGATATACCTTCTCCATCCTTGCCTCCAAGGATACACTTTTCCAAAGTCATGTCTGCTCTTTTGACAGTCCACAGGCTATTCAGCACTCTTCTCCAACACCACAGCTCAAAGGCATCAATTCTTTATTAACCCATTATGGGGGTCATCTGTGAGCTGGTTCTGACATCAGTGAGTGAGCATTTTAAAAAACCCAAAAATCAGAAAACAAACTGTCTTTCATAGGGAGCAACACTGCTAACCAAAAGGAATGCCTCTCTGAGTTTTAATCTTCAGCCACTACAAGGGAGAAAGACGGACATCTCCTCCTGTGTGATTTACAGCCTCAGTAAACCCCCTGGAAAGTCAGTTCTGACTTGACAGCAATGAGAGTGAACTAACTCCCTTAGCAAAGTGGTTCAGAGTCAGGTTCGGCCCGTCTCCACGCTTGTTCTGAGCGGACCGATATCACAGTGTGCCCACACTGCACGGCAAGGAAGGATGGTGGGGTTTTTAAAAAAATAAATTTAGAAACACTTTGAACATTTGCCCTCTGTGCAAGTGTGTCGGGCATATGATATAATGAGCAATGCATTCAGTGAAATTAAAAAGCTCAGTACCGATTCATTTTTACTTGGCATCTGTATTCTTTGGTTTTCCCATAAAATAATGAAAAGCAATAAAATTTGATTGATACAGAAAGTATTCTAACCTGTTTTTTTTAAAAAAAGGTTAAAAAAACTTAATACAATATTAAATAAAACACATAAAATGCACTCTGTGGGCCAAGAAATAAACAATGCTTGGGGAAATGTTCTATTAAGTTCTGACCCAAAAATGAATTTAGCAAATGCAGGAAAATATCTCCTAAATATATTTACGATTCAACATAAATTGAAAGTGTATTAATACCACAGAGAGGCTTTCCATTTCAGACTAAATTATTCCTAAAGCATAGATTTCATAAATTTAAAAATTCTTACATTCTACTGCAAATACTCAAAGGAAATCATAAACAGAATTGGAATGACCAATATCCTTGGCTTTTCATTAGAAAATGAAATTATTACATTCATTTACCTGACTTTGAAGAAATGAATGTTGCCTCTTAGAAATCAAGATAGAATAATACAGTGTCTTTTATTTTGCTCATCTTTTAAAGAAAAATACTCTAAATTAGGCAAACACACTATACAATAACATAATAGCAGAACTAGCATAGAATCATAACATGATCTATATTTAATGCTCGTATTACTTACAACTAATACTTTACCAACATACATTCTTAAAGTCTCTGCTATTGGGAAACAGTATTTCTGACCCTTAAAAAAAATTCATCTTTAAGGTACACAAATATTGTAACTGGTGTCCAATTCTGAGGTTCCACTTGAAAAGAAATCCTTCCAATTAAAAGGCACTATGTTTTAATAACTTGTAATAAAAATGTATATCAATATACACAGTTTCTATGTATCAAACATCAGAATACAATAATAATAATACAGTAGGGGGAAGACAAGTACCAAATACAGCCCAAAGTTGCTTAACAACGTGGTAAAAAAAAATATTGGAAAAATCTAGAAATCACAGGTCCTGCCAGACTCTCTTTTCCCTGGTGCCATCAACATCTGTATTCAACCCAGCCACAGTCAGAGAGGAGCAAGAGTGAATGCCAGGCATTGTGGTTTCTGTCTCCTCTGCTCCCACATCTGGTCCCAGTGCCACTGTATCAGTAAGAGATGCCACCTCGCAAGTCCAGAGTGCAAAGCAGTGGGCTGCTGGGAAATCAAAAACTGTCTAGCCAGCTGGGTTGCTGGGTCACACACAGACCAGGCGGTGTCATTGGGCTCCAGCAGAACACAACCCCTTACAAATTACACATTTTTAGATTAAAAGTCGGGGGCACAAACACAAAAGAGAGATTGACTGGTTTCAGGTCTAAACCTCTCTCATCGCCCTCCTCAGGTCCGTCCTAAGCCCTCTGTCTGGCAGTCATTTCCACACGCAGCAGCCACACTGGGCATGGTTTCTAGGATTTGTCTGTCAGGGTCCTGTGCTCTTTCCGCTTTCACTGAGTCCTGCAGTCACCGGCTTTCTCCGGGTCTTCGCCATCGATCTTAATCCATTTCTTTTCTATTTCAACCTAGTATTTGAAAGCAGAACATGGACAGCATTAGCAAATGTAACGTGGCAATCATGCCTCTGCAGGCTTATCTCACAGGTGACACGAGAACTTTGGACGTTGACTCAGACGGGGCCTCTCCACCCTCACAGGCAAGCATGACACAAGAAGCACCTGCCCTCCTTTTGCGGACCAGAGTCACACAAGTCCTTCCCTCTTGGTTCTAATCTTGCAGAGGGTTGAAACTCTCCCTCATCTCGTGGTTGTTGTTGTTGCTGTTATGTGCCGTCAAGTCGCCTGTGACTCATAGCAACCGTATGTACATCAGCCCTAAACCCTGCTCTATCCTGTGCCAATCTTACTGTCTCTGACAACACCTACCCCAATTACCCCAGTCACTGGCTCAATCCACCTCATAGAGGGTCTTCCTCTCCTGTGATGTCCCTCCACTCTACCCAGCATGACGTCCCTCTCTAAGGACTGGTCCCTCCTTGCAACATGTCCAAAGTATGTCAGACGAAGCCTCAGAATCCTTGCCTCCAAGGAGCAGCCTGGCTTCACCCTCTCAAGACAAACCTGTTCATTCGTTTGCCGTCCACAGTATATCAAGATATTAAGGAGCTGGATAGATTTCAAAAGCAGAGCGGGAAGACGAATTAAAGTATTATAATGAAATGTGCAAAGAGCTGTAGTCAGAAAATCAAAGAGGCCAAACTTGCTCAGCATTTCTTAAGCTCAAGGAACTGAAGAACAAATTTCAAGCCTCGAGTTGTAATACTTAAAGATGCTTTGGGCAGAATATTAAATAATCCAGGAATTATTAAAAGAAGTGGAAGGAGTACATAGAGTCATTGTACCAAAAGGAATTGGCAGACACACAAGAATTTCATGTAACAACATAGGAATGTCTATCTGTGTTTCATTGATTATGCACAAGCGTTTGACTGTGTGGATCACAACAAACTGTGGCTGGCTAAGAGAAGAATGGGAATCCCAGAACACTTCATCGTGCTAATGCTAAACCTATACTTGGGCCAAGAGGCAGTCATCAGACAGAGCAAGGAAACACTGCATGGTTCAAAACTGGGAAGAGTGTATGCCAGGGATGTGTCCTATCTCTACGTCCCACTCATCTAGAGTTTTCATAAAATGCATTCAATATATAAATACTGATCCAATATTATGGTCAGACACAATGTAGACTAGAATTCCAAGTATCATCTATCCAATCTTTTGTCTCTGGACCATCTGAGCTTTGTATCTTAGGAGAACAAATAGATTTGGCCTGGAAAGGGTGAAACCAAGTTTCTCCTTAGAGGTAAGAATTCTAAAGCTCCATTTCAAGAGGGACCACTCCTTGGAGAAGGACATCATGCTTGGAAGGGTGGAGGGACAGTGCAGGAGAGGAAGACTCAAGGTGAGATGGATTGTCATGGTAACTGTGCCAACAGGATTGTGTGTGTCAGAATCAGTGAGAATGGCTCTGGATAGGGCAGGGTTCCGAGCTATTGCACACAGGGTCAGTATGAGTCGTGGGAGACTCCATGGCACATAACAACAACTAGTTAAAAAGCTGTGCCATCATCTGCCTGCCCCTCATTTTTCTCATCTCAGCTCCAATGTTGCCTCTTAAAAAGCAAAACAGAACCATCTCACCAGCTGTTCTATGAACCAAGGATGGGCAATCCTCTTCTGTACAATTTACTGCCTCTGAAAACTCACTGGAGGCCCAGCTATGGGTCGGTTCCAACTTGATGGCATACAACAACAGTGTCTTTTATTTTGCTCATCTTTTAAAGAAAAATAACTCTAAATGAGGCAGAGTTACCATTTATTTTTTTTTTTTAAAAGGAAACCTGGTCAGCTGAGTCAGTTCTAACTCAACTCCATAACCATCGCCACATAGTTCTGATAGCAGAACTGGCACAGAATCATTGCATGATCTATACTCCTACTCAAGACAGACTCGTGCTGTCTCGTCAAGGTCCTCCCTGACCATCCTAAATAAGGATGTCCCCAATCACTCTCTATACCGTAAGCCCATTTTCTTCCTAGTATTGCTCACTCTCTAAGAAATGATACTATTTGTGTTTCTTTGGGGGGTTCCTTCCCACTCAGCAGTGAGTTCCCCATTAAAGCTGGGGAGCTTCTTGCTCCTCTTGCTCCACACTGTGCCCCAGCAGCAGTGTGTCACCTAAGAACAACTCAGACACTTAATGAACAGAAGAATGCCACTGTCAAGTGGTCTGCCGTCAGGAAGAGATCTGGCCCCCTGTGAACAAAAGGAGTTTGGGATTACCTGGATATTGTAGCAAGCTCGCTGGTGGATATGCTTCTGAGGCTGGACATCACTCTCCACGCCCAAAGACTTGACCTCTGTCCGTGAGGCACAGGTGTCAAGCGTAGCAAACTGGACGGTAGCAAAAGGGTACCAATCAGAGGGAATTTCTTGGTCTGATCCCAGCTCTAGCTTGTATGACAGACAATGGGGATGATCTGAACCTTGAGGAAAGAAATATCAAAGTATCAGTTATAAGCTTTGAACAAAGAGGCACTTTATCATAGTCCCTAAAAAGCAACTCCATCAGCACCATGGTTGTGTGAACCACATTGAAACAAAAAGCCATCAAAATCCCCCATCAACAAACAAATAGATGGAGCAGCTCTGGTATATTCATACAATGGAATACTACGCTGGATTGAAAAACAAGGAACTCGTGAAATATTATGCAAAATGGGTGGCCCTGGAGGACTTTATGCTGATTGAAATATATCAGTCACAAAAGGACAAATACTGCATAGTGCCTGTTGAATGGGACTGACATCAGGGTTGGGGTGAGACAGAGAAAGATTGGATAAATTATGTATACTGCATTGAAACAGATGAGGGAGAGAACTGTTAAAAAGCGATATATGACTGGGTATTATGGTCATCATAAGAGTCCAGAATGAAGGCTACATAGTGGAGTGGACTTGAGGAGTGGGGGGATTGTATACCAATGAAAGAATTTTTCTTTTCTTTTTCAAAGAGAAGAGCAAACTGGGGGGCGGGGGTGGACAGGGAGAATAATGCAACAATGAATGACTGGAAAGCCAAAGTCTCTGCAAACGTTCATTAAAATTAATAAAAAATATAAATAAAAAAAAATTTTTAAGCCATCAAAATCCACATTCTTGCACTAAAGAGATGGAATCTAACTGCATTTCCAAAGCCTTAGTGTTAAAAGAAGTATACCTTTATTACTTTATACATCCATGACATTTGGATGCATAAACATCTAAAAAAGGTTTCACTTACAAGTGTTACTACTTCTTCTTTCCTTTAGGGAGCCCTAGTAGCCTAATTGTTAAGAGAGTTGTGCTGCCAATCCAAAGGCTTGTAGTTCAAATACACCAGGTGGGATGAAAGATGGGCAGGAAATCATCTCCCATGTGATTCAGAGCCTCTGAAAACGTGCTGGCAGCGGGGAAGCTGAGTTGTCAGGCGCCAAGTGAACTATGAGTCACAGCAACCCTATAACAACTGATCTATGCTGTACCATCCTCACAATCTCTGACTGGTCGACCCTGTACCTTCCTCACAATCTGTCACTTTGTGTCAACCCGTTGTTGCAGTTACTGTGTCTGCCCTCTAGTTGAGGGTCTTCCTCTCTTTCAGAGAGCCTGTACCTTTCCCAGCTTGGCAATGAGAAGGAAAGTCTTTCATTAAATATTAAGAAAAACCTTTACTTGCTGGAATACTCTTAGAGACTTTACAAGCCTCTTTCTCTTAAGCAAGCGGAATATGTTTTTCCAGTAATTCTTATTTTTTTTTAATCTTACTTTTCCAATAATTCTTATTGTTTTTCCTCCACTGGATTTATTTACAGATAACATGAAGGTTGTCTTCAGGCCAAACGATGTGGCATTATTAAAAAGTCTGAATATTTGAAGTTCAACTTACTGAAATTTTATTACTTTTCAGAAAATTACCTAAACCAAGAAGTCTCCTTTTCAGTAAAGGAAAGGCTGTTTCTGATTACAGTAATTCTTACCCTCCTCTTTTCAAGTTTTGCCTGGAACTGAAGGACCGCGTGTTGTTGTTATGTACCACTGAGTGGACTATGATCCACAGCGACCCTATGAACAATGGCTCTGAATCTTGCCCTTCCTGAGCCAATGTCTCCTTCTTAGACACATCTGACCCCATTACCACAGTCACTCTGTTAATCCATCTCATCCAGGGTCTTCCTCTTCTGTGCTGACTCTCTACCCTTCTTTTTAATTTTTTTTTATTAATTTTAATGAAAATTTACAGACTTTGGATTTCCATTCATTCATTATTGCTCTTTTCTCCCTGTCCATGCATGCTCCTGCCCCCCGCCCCTACACTCTTCTCTTTGAAAAGTAAAAGAAAAATTCTTTCATTGTTTCATAAACCCTCCCCTCAGGTCCACTCCACTATGCAGCTTTCATTCTGGACGTCTGTCATGACAATAATGCGTAATCATATTTCCCTTTTAAACAGTTTTCTGCCTCATCTGTTTCAATGCAGTGTACATTATTTATCCCATCTTTCTCTGTCTCACCCCAACCCTGATGTCAGTCCTGTTCAACAGTGGCACTATGCATTATTTGTCCTTTTGTGACTGATATATTTCACTCAGCATAAAGTCCTCCAGGGCCACCCATTTTGCATAGTATTTCATGAGTTCCTTGTTTTTCAATGCAGTGTAGTAGTCCATCGTGTGACTACACCACACCTTCTCTATCCATTCTTTTGTTGATGGGCACTTAGATTGTTTCCAACTCTTTGCTATTGTGAACAAAAAGACACGATAAACATGGGTGTGCATATGACCCTCTACCCTTCTAAGTATGATGTTCTTCTCCATGGACTGGACCCTCAAGTCCAAGTATGTGAGATGGAGCTTCAAAAACCTTGCCTCCAAGGAGCAGCCCTCTCCAGGACAGACCTGTTTGTTCTCTTGGCAATCTACAGTATGTCCAATACTCTTTGCCAGCACCACTACTCAAAGTCATGCATTCTTCTGTCATCCTTAGTCATTATTCAGCTCTCAGATGCACAGTAAGCAATTAATAAGACCATACCATGGATTAGGCACACTTTAGTCTCTAGGCTGACATCATTGCTCTTTAGCATTCTGGAAAGATCCTTGGCAGCAGATTTTTCCATTGAATCTTGTCTTTTGATTTCATGACTGCTGATGCAGAGTGTTGATTGTGGATACAAGCAAGATGAAATCATCAACAACCTCAATCCTTTCTCCATCTGTCATGATACTGCCTATTGGCCCAGTGGTGAAGATCTTTATTTTCTTGATGCTGAGATGCAATCTATATTGAAGGCTGCAATCTTTGACCATCTGCAGCAAACACTTCAATTCTTCAGTTTCGCCCAGCAAAGTTCTGTCATCTGCATAATGCAGGTTGTTAATAAGTCTTCCTCCAATCCTAAAGCCAAAATCTTCATAAAGTCCAGCCATGTCAGGGATGCATTCTTTCTCCATACCTTTTTAATCTATGTGTGGTACAGAAGGGTAGTATTAGAGGTGAGCTTACTGGCTTTCAATGTTCCAGCTGCTTTTCATTTTTATTCAGTTGGCCATTTCTTTAGCCAGACCATGCTCTGTAAGAGACCTGGGTATATCAGAAACATTCAAAGACTTTTAGGGAAGTCATATAAAGTGGGACTGTTTATGGGTCAAGGGGGGTGCACATTTTATAACAAAAAAATACACATTCTCAGTGTAATCACTGGAGTACCTTTACAAGTCCTCTGCCGTACTGCTCAAAACATCTACATAGCTATTGTGGCTATTATTTTTCCTTCAATAACTGTGTGAGATGGCAGTCATTTCAAAAACCAGATTAAATTACTGTACTGCTGACAAAGCTGGGGAAAGAACATTTCCATCAGAATATAGCCGCAGGCACAAAAACAAGAGTTTAAAGGATTTCACTTAAGTCTTAAAAGATAAATCGCCTTTCAGTCCTTGGGACCTGTTCCTTGTACAGACACTAGTAGAATTTGAAAGCTCTAAAGGGTCTTGAGAAACCATCAATCAGTTAACCAACAGATGCTCAGTACACAGCACCATTCGCACGTGGGACGGGACAAGAGTAGTCTCTGACGTAGTCTCAGGGACCCAGATGACGCAGGCAGATGGTAACTATTCACACACAGCAGACAGGGAGTTCTGGTGGCTCAGTGGTAAAGAATTAGTGCTGCCAAACCAAACGCATGTGGTTCAAATCCACCAGCTGCTCCGTGGGAGGATGAACACGCTCCTCCTGTGTGATTTACAGCCTCTGAAAACCCACAGGAGGGTCAGCTGTGGGGTAGGTTCCCGCTCAACAGTACAGAACAACACAGCCAGAAGTGGGAGGTATCATGGGTTACCTGCTGGAATGCTAAAGGTGGACGGTTCAAATCTATCAGCTGTTTCATGATGAAACATGGCTTCTGTGAAGGGCAACATCTCCATCAGAGATTGACTCCTACCAATGGTTTGGCTTTGATTTGGATAGTCGGCAGGCTTTCCATGTCCACTATCCCTTTCAGTCTTCCATCTTCAGCAAGGAAAGCAGCTCTGTGTATCTAATCTTAACATGTGCTCTGTTAAATTCTGCTATGTGGCCCAGTGGTTAAGGGCACACACATCCTCAACTCCTGCTCTGCTACTTAACAGTGGCAGGATTCTAGTCAAGGCCGTTCTGGGTCTCAGTTTCCCCATCCGATAAAGGCGGTGATGATAATGGTGACAAGTGACATAAAACTTATGGAGCCATTGTGAGAGAAACCAGCTGGCATGCAAAAAGCTGAGTAAGCCAATGTTGGCACAGACACACAGGACATGTATGTTTGTTTTCTAAATTGTCATCACTTTGGAAGCAGGAGTGGCGTCCACTTTCTAAACAACTTGCCTCCGGAAATGCAACTTTGATAAATGTCGATAGTGGTAGAGGGGCTTCAGGCCTTTTGTTCAGGCAATCAACAACAACAACGAGTCCTTTTTGTTGATAATGTTACATGGTTGTGAGCTGACTCTAGCTCAGAGCAGCCGGATGAACACCAGATCTGAACCTGTCCTATGCTGCACCGTCCTCACCTCAGTGGTCAGGTGCTCAATCCATGTTACAGTCACTACGTCAGTTCATCTTGTGGGAGGGCTTCCTTTCTCTGACCCTCCACCGTTTCCAGCGTGATGTTGTTTTCCAAGGACCAGCCCCTTCTGGCAACATGCCCAAAGTCTCTGAAACCAAGTGTCATCTCCCTTGACCCTAAAGGGCACTGTGTCTGCACTTTCTCCAAGACAGACTTTGTTGTTCTGGCAGTCCGTGGGATATTCGGTATTCTCCTCTAACATCACAATTCAAAGGCCTCAATTCTTCTTTGGTCATCATTATCCGCTACCCAACTTGCAGATGTTTAGGAAGCAACTGAAAGTGCCATAGCTTCCATCAGGCACATCTTAGTCTTTAAATCAGCATCCTTGCTC